TTTATTATTGAAACGGTCCAAGTGCCTGTGGGTTTTTGATAACTGAAGCGGCGTCTGTTTTATTTTGTTGTATTTTTATGCCTGCGGCAGTTAATCGAACGCGAGCTATAGTACTAGAGCTAGTTGTAGGCCTATTGTATGCCTAAGCTTTCAGTAAGTATGTATTGGTTATTTAAATTGTTATGCAATTTAGTACGTGCGAATTCGCGAATAGATGATTGATTTACAGATTATTTATGGAAGTGTAATATAGGCTAGTGCAAATCTAACGCCTGATTGTGCAGCGTGTATAGTATTTACAGAATAAAACTGTTCTACTGAAATAATATGAAACCATTGTTTTGGCCAGTACTATGTAAGCAGTAGCATTCGTATTCAGCGTCATACGTAAACCTCAACGAGCGTATCAAACACTCGCTGGCCGCAACAGTAAGTTAAGCAATCATGTCTTTGCATAACAGTCATTGAAGGGAACTTCCCAGTGTTATTTTTAAACCGGTTTGTGACCGTTAAGCATAGGTGTCCGCTAAGCAGAGGTGACCGTTAAGCAGAGGTGTCCGCTAAGCAGAGGTGTCCGTTAAGCACAAGTGTCTGCTAACAGTGACTTCACTGCACGGGTTCGCGCTACGGCGGGGAAACGTGTGTATCATTGCAGGGCTTCATGTGGCCATTGCCAAAAATAAAGGGATAAATATAGGACATTTTTCAGAAAAATATAGGGCAGAAGAAAGAAATATAGGACGATGTAGGGAAATCTCAAAATTATAGGAAATATAGGAAATATAGCAAGCCCTGGTATGTGTGTGTACGACTATAACTTATAAGTGACAGGCCACCGCTCGGTTACCATGACAACGACCAACGGACGACAGCAAACAGACGGCGACAAGCCACCGCTCGGTTACCATGACAACGTCCAACGAACGACAAGAAACAGACAAGGCGACGAGCAAGGTGGTCCATGTACGTCGGTTTTTATTCAAGCAACGCCGACTGCGCACACGGCACGTACATGCACACGAGTTGGCGACGGCAGCAGAAACGATCGAACATTCGCCTCCGAAAGACAGTGAACGTAATATGGGAGCGGAGCGCCACCTAGCGTCGCGCATGTACAGCGACATACAGCGCACCCGGAGAGGCCTGTCTGTACAGTGTTCCGAATATATTCAACGCGTCACAACGTGGCGCCCTCTAGCGACATGTCGCGACAAGTGACTAACCACATACACGTCGAGGGCGCAGTGAACTTTCCGACGTCATCGTGAACTCTATGACGTCAGAGAGCGCGATACGCGGTCGCCATCTCGACGAGCTGTTATAGTAAAGTAGCGCGCATGAGCATCCGTCCACGAGATGGCGCTCCACGACCGTAGATGTGTGGTCATCATCTCTCTCTCTCCACCTTCTACATTCTCTCTCTCTCTCGCTTTCTTTCTTTCAAAGCATAAACGAAAATCGTGCGACATCGCACGCCAGACGAAACGGAATAATTCACTCACTGTACATACAAAAAAAAACTATATAAGTGACCGCTACAACTACGACACGTACAACACGCTTACTTCACTACATTTTAATGGAGAAACGCTCCAACGCATGCGCAATGGCGCTGTTTGCGCTGAACGCACATGGACTAAAACATAAGCTGAACGGCTTAAAAACTTCACAGAGGTGGCAAACGCTGGTACCACTGTGTCATAAAACATGCGCAGTGGATATTTAAAAGTATACGGCAGAGTATCCACTTCCGCTATTTTACCGTACAGTACTTTTGATTGGCTAGTCTGTTTATGTATGTGTATATATGCATGTTAGTATATTACGAATGTGTTCAAAAGGTTTCGTATTGGAAACGTGATTCACGGAAAATAGCTTCTATGCTCAAACGTAGAAATAAATGGGATTTGAACCTAAAGGTTTTCTAGACAGCTAAACCTTATGGGATTCGAATGTAATGTTGATGACGTCATAAATATACTAGCCAATCAAATGTGGCGTACGGTAAAATAGCGGAAGTGTGCTGAATAGTGGTAGAGTATACGGTTAAATATCCACTGCCTAAAACATGCTGCGGTGCTTGGAGTCTAACGTATGAAACTGCTTCGCAAACATTATCAGCACAAAGGTTTTTATTCTAAAAACATTCTAAATTTCAGAATAAAAAAACACGGTAGTTGAAGATGCATCGACTCACTCCCAACTGGAGAAGCGAATAGTAACAGTGCAACTAACCATACACTGCAAGAAGCAAAAACTGTAATGAAATAAGAATCCGTGATAAATTGGTCTCGGAATTTCGTGGTCTTTTGCTCTGCGCGAATAGATACCATTATTTCCGGTCACCATACGTGTTTCTTAACTAGTAAAAAAAATCGCGTTGTAAAAGTCACGAGGTAAAAAAAAAACGATCGGCAGAACGCAATGCGTGAAAAAACTGTTATTGCATTCTAATGCCTGCAACTACTATATGCAGACGAATATTTAAGTCACTATCACCTGCAGCGCAACTCTTTCCCGACAGATGTCAGACCAGCCATGTCGGCTGCCACACAAGATATCTCATATACACAATAAGTATTACTATGTATTAGCATATATTTCCATGGTCTGCCACGGCGAACAAATACCGCCATCTTCCCTCAACGTTCGTATTAAAAACCAAAAACTTATGACCTATGCGTTTCTGCAAAGCCCGTCCACAAGGAACACATGAGACGAAGGCAACCAGGAACTTTCCCCCTCCTCCGTGCTCATCGTGCTTCCACGTGACTCTTACATCACTCTGCGCCATATCAATGCTCATATAAGGTCTATGTCTCCCTGGGTACTGCCGGCCACTGCGGCTGCTGTTGTTGTTGCTGCTACTAATGTTGCTACTAACTGCTGTTATTGTTGCTGACATTGTTTGTTGATTGTTGATATTGTTGATTGTTGTTATTGACAACAGCAGCCGCAGTGTCGGGCAGTACCCAGGGAGACACATAGACCCTATCAGCCATATTAATATTAATAAACCGACACATTAAAGCAACACAAAGCACGACCCTGTGGTGCAATATACTCTCCTTCTGGTGTTCACACCAACGGATCACAATGCAGATCATCAAGTTATCGTGAATGGTAAGCGCTTTGTACTGTACTGTACTTTGTACTCTGCACTTCTGTACATTGTACTTGTACGCAACTGTACTGTGCTTTGTGCCGAGTTTCGAGAAAAGACCGTGGTAACAAATAACTATCGCATACACACCTCGTTCCGGTATCAAAACGGGTGCTCCCACTAACACTAGTATTCATCAAGGCAACAGTTATATTAATGCACCATCCAACTCTGGCTAGACTGGAGATGGAGATTTCTACGATTAGTACTCACCTACAGTTCTAGCTAGAACATTTTGCACCTAGTATCAGTGATTGGTCGTGGCCATTGACCTTGTGGTTTTGCCACCCGACAATGCACTTTGGATCCAGAAACAATTGAGCATCATTCCCAGCGTTTCTTGTTTGTGGAAGTGCACTGTGGGATGGCAGCATAGCACTCGACATCAGTGCTAAAGATTTGCTTAACATATTGTTGCATGTACACACACACACACACACACACACACACATATATCATAGCTACATTGTACACGTACACATTATATATATAAACAGGGTATCGGTATAGAATTGAAACGGGGTCAGCAATGTGGTTCGACATCGCGAAACGCAGCGATTTCAGATGGCTGAGAATTCGCACTATCTACCAAAATAATCACGACACCATCGGTCTCACTATATACCCATTAATTACATATTGCAATTCGCTAGAGGTGGTGTCACAAGGCGATTGTTTTGGCATGTCATCCCTGCCGTGATGTCAACAAGCAATTGTCAAAAAATGATTCTTTAGCCATGTGACACGATTTCCAAGTGACCAGGTGCCGGAAGTGCGTACGGAACAATACCGACTTCGAATCCTATCCTCTAACATGACTTTACAGTGAGACAAACTGGTCCCCACTTTAACTATTAACTTTTGTTATACTATTAACACACAATCACGTGTAGATTTCAATCCTAATCCACCTTCAGTCATCTTTACAGCGGCTTAGAAATGTATACCTTGTGTTTTTCATGCACACTGGGGGATGGCGGAGGTGGGATGCTTGGCAGCTGGCAAGTGTCCAAGACTGCACCTCAAAATGGAGTAACATACAAGTTTGTCATTTTCATAAATAAGTAACCTACAGACTAGCTAAATCTATACCGCTCACGTTGTGACTCGCTACAGATATATATATATATATATATATATATATATATATATATATATATATATATAATTTATATATATTCTCAAACCATGGGGCACTTGTTATAAAATTTACAAAAATATTATAGGCCACAAAACACGACATTCATAGAGGGGATCTCATCAGCTATGTATGACTTTTAATACTGAGGCATGTTGCAGTTAGAATTAGTTGGGTATATCAACTGACCCTTTGAGAAAAATTTCCATAGTTCAAAATTGGAAGGGAACCAGTGAAATGGGAGACGCGATATTGAATCGCTCAGTTGGAAAGTTGAGTAACCCTTTTGAGTAGCTTCGTCCTAGAAAAAGCTTAGAAAAGACATGCACATGCATGCACTGGTATGTACATATGCATGCACACCCACATCCACACAAATATACTCGCACCCACACACACACGCACGCTGGAACACTCACACATGCTAGCGCACGCACGCACGCACGCGCACACACACACACACACACACACGCACACACGCACAAACCCTCCCCTCACACACTCCACTACGAATAGACGAAAATATATAAAACGTGTGCCCAATGCTTTGAGAGACGCGCGCTCGCTCTCCCCCCGCGCCGCCGCCGGCGCCCCCTAGGGGGGCACGTACGGCGGCGGCATCCTATGCGTCGGCGTATGCTTCGGTCCCTGCTTCTTGTGGTTGTTGGCGGCGGCGACCGGCGGCGGCGGGTTGTACGGCGGCGACTCCGCGTCGCCCGGTGGCGCCCTCTCTATGGTGTCGGGCGATGCGCGCTTGGTGTCGGACGCCGGCGTCGAGGCGGCGGACGTCGAGGCCGAGCGCGGGTACTCCGGCGGAGGCTGTTGCTGTGGCAACGGCGGCTTCTCGTCGCGCATCACCGACGGCTGCTTCGCGCGCTCCTCCGTGTCGCCGAGTTCGTCCTTGAAGATGACGGGGATGCCCTTGTTGATCGTCTCCTCGTCCTCGTCCGACATCTTGCCCTTGCGGCGGCGCCGGTACAGCAGGCACGCGACGATGGCGGCCAGCAGCAGCATCGCACCAATCACGACGGCCGGCAGCACCGTCGTCAGCAGCACGTCGTCACGGCGACGCTCCGTCCGTCCCGTCACGGGCGTCTCCGGCGCGGCGGTCGGCTCCGCGTCTGCCGGCGCCACCTCCTCGCCGCCCGGGATGGCGACGGGCGGAGGCACCGTAGGGGGCGCCTCCGTAGTGTTGCCGCGGCACGCGCCGACTTTCGCCGGCGGCGGCACCGACTCGACGTCGAATTCGGGCGACATGGCGTCGCGGAACTGCGAGTTCGGGATGTCGCCGTCGCCGGAGCGCAGGCGGGAGGCGAGCGCAGAGATTTCATCCTCGGAGCAGGTGTTGGTGGGTAGCGACGCGTTGCTCCAGGCAACGACGACCGACCCCTTACTGACGGAGCCGACTTGTATCTGCGAGGACACACGGTGATGCGGTGGTTAGACGCGCGGCGACGCGGTGGTTAGACACACGGAAGACACGACACGCGAAGATCAGTGTGAATTATTGTCAGGTAATGCATTGGTTCAACATTAGGAAGATAATAATTTTATTATAATAATTAATAATCGATTTTAATAATTCAATAGGAGTGAATAGTAATAGATTATTCTATTATAATTATATTATATTATATATTAATCTATTATTCTAGTTCTGCTACTCTTTCTTTGCTACAGATTCTTACTAATCGCTCATCTAATTAATCTATTATTATTCACTCCTCATAATACAATACAAGATTCAAACACACGAACCTTAACTCTAGCTACACGGCTTCCCACATCCTCCTTCCCACATTTTGCTACAACTAACGCTCATAGGGTCTATGTCCCCCAGGGTACTGCCGGAACGTACCCTGTGTACGGTCCGGTATACCGGAACGTACCCTGGTAACTATTTGATATGGTTAGGGAGTAGGTGTAGGCGACTCCCTAGACTCGTTAGTGGAGTAGGCGAGGTACGGTCCGGCATATTAGATAGTACCAGGGTACGTTCCGGTATACCGGACCGTACCCAGGGTATGTTCCGGCAGTACCCTGGGGGACATTGACCCTCTCAGCACAACTAACCACAGTTAAAGGCATATCCTTCTACATGCTTCTAACCACATTTCGCTGCTAACTCGCTACTAATCACAGTTTACCACACTAATAAGCCCACAGCCTTTCACATTTATAGTCCAGTCAATACAGTCAATCAACAACTTCAAACTATAAAACCTGTTGCAATTTGTTCCAGGTATTTCATATACTGTATACGCTGTATATATTTCGCGGTGGTTTAATTTTCGCAAATGTCGCGAACGCATCCCCGACCGCGAAAATAACAACACGCGAATAATTCATCCCGAATAATACTGAATAATTCATAATTCACCGACCACGAAATTAACCACTCGCGAAATTGTCCATCAAGGTTGAATTCGCAAAAATATCTATGCGCAAAAAAATATGGCGTATACAGTATACGAAATACCCGGAACAAATTGCAACAGGTTTTATAGTTGGAAGTTGTTGATTACAACTAGTTTAACTTAGTTACAACAAGTAGCTGATGGACTATTCGCACCCCTCACGCGAATTTTTTTCCCCTACACGTTATATCCATTGGGCTCTTCTGATTGGCTGCTTTGATTTGACCACACCATAGATAGTGTTTGGGATACCATAGATAGTATAGTTAGTGTTAGGGTTCGGGTTAGGGTTAGGATTTTTGCACCATTCCTTGATATACGGAAAGTCTGATGCGGAAGTTGATATGTGTATATCAAGCCCAATGGATATAACGTGTAGGGAAAAAAAATTCGCTCCCCTCACAGCTTCGCTCACCTTGCCGGGGTTGGGGTCGCCGAATGCCTTCGCGAGCTTGTCTAGGAAGAGCAGCTGCAGCGTGACGTTGTTACGGAACGCGGCGTAGTCGTCGTCCGCTCCCAGCACGGCCATGCGCACGGCAAACTCGTGGTTAGGGGGCGCCGACGCATTGCGCTTCTCCACGATGATCTTAACTCCGTCGTATTCCACCTAGAGTATGAGGAGGAGTAAGAGGAGAAGTTAGAGGAGGAGGAGTAAGAGGAGGAGGAGGAGGAGGAGTAAGAGGAGGAGTAGGAGGAGTAAGAGGAGGGGGAGGAGTAAGAGGAGGAGTAAGAGGAGGGGGAGGAGTAAGAGGAGGAGGAAGAGGAGGAGGAGGAGTAAGACAGCTTCAACTACACACTACGCCTGCCTAGCACAGAACAGCAGCCATCGCATCGCCACAAACAACAGACCATCCGAACCGAACACGCTGCGAAAATCGAGATGCTCGCGACGACAAAACCGACCACATCAGATGTAGGGGGCGCTGCTCGTACCTTGCCGCCGGAGTCGTACGCTGCGAGGAAGTACTCGGCCGAGCCGACGTCATCGTCTAGAGGCAGTCCATAGATCTCCTGCTTCCGCTGGTTAAACTGCAGCCACTTGGTCTTGGGCAGGAACTTCTTAGTGCTGTCCAGTAGCTCCAGCCGTAGCTTGTGAGTTGGACCGTCCTCGAAGTCTTCAAACGTCCTGCCGGGCACCTTTAGCCGCAGCAGCTGAAACCATGAAGCCATGAAGACATGAAGTCATGAAGCCATGAAGACATGAAGCCATGAAGACATGAAGACATGAAGCCATGAAGACATGAAGCCATGAAGACATGAAGACATGAAGCCATGAAGACATGAAGCCATAAAGACGGGATGAGGT